AAGAAAGAGAAGTAGAGAAGATGAAATAGGAGACATGAGTAGTGTATTGTCATTTTCATTTAGTCCACTTGTTAAATTTAAGGGTGAAAGTCTCCTTTTGTTTCTTCAACATTTGCTTGAGAGAAGCTTATCAGCTGCTTCTTCTTTTCCAAATCAAGTTCTTCTTACAAGAAAAATGTTTCAAAAAATGTGAAGATTTTTCCTTTTTAATTTTTCATCCAGAATTCCCTTCCTTTTCCTACCTTTTTTTTCAAACCAAAACCAAACACAATCTAAATGTTAATTGGTTTGTCATATCAGTTTGAGAAGAGTGTAAATACAAATATGTTCAGTGTATACAGTAGTTCATTTGCACCGTATATATTTGTCTTGGGAAAACCTATGATGCTGGGAAGATATGGTATCCCAAGAGTTTTGACAAATCAAAACCCACCCATGAATATGATACCAGTTGGTTGGTCACAAAATTTTCAGATATCATGTTTTAATCCATTTGTATTTACAGTCTTCCCTTGAAAGGAGTATAAAAGCAAATTTATAGAGTGCAAAACCTTGTATTTTGTATGTATTTATATTTATATTCTTTCCAAACTGAGCCAAGATTCTATATTGCTATCGTGTTGATACATCATACATATACTCTATGTATTTATCTATGCATTCTTCCTCTTTCCCTCCCCAAACTATTTGTCAAACCCACTTAAGAATCAAGGCAAAATTATAACATGAAATTCATGTTCTAAAAGACAATGTACCATATGCTCATTATGAATAATCTGGTGATTTCAAATTTTCAATTGCCTAACTTGAACAGGTCGAAGTCATGACCGAGGAATATTTTGAAAAAATAAATACAAATCCCTTCAATAAATATAAAATTTCCATGCAAAACAAATAAAAAGACCACATTTACAATTAAATTTTTTTCAGATTTTTACCATGGAAATTTCATGACCTTGACATTGGTTGGAAGAATGATTCAACCTCGAAACCTTCAAATGGTTAAACCATTTGGGACATCGGCCAACCAATTGACAGATGCGAAATGCGAATTATCCATGGCAATTTGCAAGTGGCAATTCTCCACCATCAATGGGCATAGCCAACGGTCCAACATGACCTCTGGACCAGCCCAACCAGTTGATCCGGCCAACAGACCATTCTTTATTTTTATCTTTTTTTTTTATAAATTCATTTCTACTAGAGTTTTATTTTTTATTTTTTATGGGGCTATACTTGAGTAGGCGTAGGACTACTGTCTCTATTACCTGAGGACTAGGACTACACAAAGCGTGATTCAATCCCAACTCTGCATTACAACTAGTTAGAGACCTTACTAATTGAGTTATTTGACACCTCCTCCTGGGCTATTGCTCGTCAAACATGCGTAAAACCCCACATAACTAATCCTTACTGAATATGCCAGTGGTCTTTGCACTGAAATGACACTTTTCCTCATTTTTGCCAGTTGTTCGACTTCCTCGATCCAAAGGTTAGGGATGGAAATTGCCTTAGCGGGGATAGAGGCAAAGATGGGGATTGATAATGATAACCGATTAGGGATGGAAATGGAGATGGGGAATGAATTCCCTATCCACTCTGACCTTAATTATATATATATATTAAATATATACATATAATATTTTTTTATATTATATATATCAAAATATATTTAAAATATTTTTATATTTAAAAAAATCCCTTATTCTAAACAAATTTATCTTCCAAAAAAAATCAATTTAAAAACTTTCGGTGATTTAGGTACACGATGGGAACTAGTCTTTGTCTGGATCAGGAATAGAGGGTCATTTTTATTTCCGACGTGAATCAGGGTTAGGGTCACCTATTTGTTTCAAAGTCAAGGTTAGAGATGGGGAATATGGTCCCCGCCCTCAACTTGTCCATTACCATTCCCATCCTTACATTTTAAAAGCTGATGTATTCATTCATGATTGGCTACATAGATTTTTACACACAATATGTTGAATATGAATAGTAGATCCCCAATGCCTCCTTCTTCCACTATAGATTTGAGAGTAGCTTGGGTTTGATGATATGGAATGGGCTCCCCACTAAAGCGCCCCACATCCATCCCTCCTTTGAATTGTAACATCTCCATGTGGGGACCGCTTAGTGGGAGCCCATCTAAACTTGGATTTGATGAGTATTGATGGCAAAACCTAATCATATCTATGTGTCTCATATATGAATCTCTTCCCAACAAAACCTAATCAAAAGTATAAATCTCTTCCCAACAAAAACAACCACTCCAACATGTCTCATATATGATGGGCACCCGGCTTATGGTCAAATGTGCATGCACTAATCATGTGATAACTCAGTGTGTATTTGGTATAGATTTCATTTATTAAATAAATGTTTTTACTTGTTTTGTCGTCAAAACTTAAAAAAAAAAATTGATAAATTGTTTATTAAAAATTAAGCATTATTAGGCATCATATCAGCGGAACAGTGAATAAATGCTTAACCGTTAGGGGAAGCGTTAAAATGAAGCTTCCCCCAATGATTGATACATACATGAATAAAGACCAACTTTTATCGATACCGATGCCTATGAATCAACATGATGAGATAAATGCTGATTTGGTGATGACATAACATCATTTATCAAATAAACGGAAGCTATACCAAACGCTACCTTAGAAGGGTATTGACATAGTGTTTGTTGGGAGGAATCCTCAACTTTAGGCATTGATGCCGTTTTTTTGAGAAAATGATGTCTCATCGGTGCTACGTTAGAAAAGCGGTGCTCCATAAAACAACTTCTTATTTGACATCGTTTTTCTAGAAAAAATGTTGCTTTGAACCACATATTGAAATTTGGAGAAGTGCGGTATGAAGAAATGCCAAATTCAATGTTTTTTCAGAAAATAACCTGTTGTTGCCAGTAGTTCAATGACATGGCATCAACATGGCATCATCTTGGGCATTGGATAATGTAGACCAATGCTGAAAATGATTTTACAACACTAGTACCAAATAAAACCAGTGTTATTTTCCCAAAAAACAACCTATGTGGCAGCATCTATGCCAAACAAAAAGAAAAATGAATCATTTTTTAAGAAAAAGGTGCAACAAACATCCATGCCTAGTGGGTCCATTTTTTCATTTGAAGCAACGACATCCATGCCAAACACTTACTTAAATAGGGATCTGCACCCAACAGTCTTCCAAATTCCAAACTATGCCACATCTATTATATAAAATTTAATTAAATAGCATCCCAGAAGAGGGCTCATCCATTCTTAAAAAATTGTCAAAGTGGTTACTTTCGGTCATAAATAAATTTGAATTTTAATCTTAATTAAGAGCTTTACGGTTCAAAAATTGATTGCGCATTAAAATTATGTAAATTACCAGAATTTAATATAATTAGAAAATCTATTATAACAACAATACTCAGTAATTAAATACTAATTATTAATAAAAGTATAAGAAAATAATCATCACATTTGCTAATTAAAAATAATATTTCTTTAATAAAATAACTAAGTAAATATTACACTTTGATTAATCTTTAAATTTTTATAGTAAAATTTTTAATTATAATAATTATTATGATAATAAAATCATTAATTAAATACTAACCCCTTACTTAGTACTAGGTCATTCTCTAGTTTCACCATAAAACTAGACCTACCATGTTTGCGACATAACATGTTAGAATAGTTTTTTTTTTTTTTTTTTTTTTTTTTTTTTTTATGGTGAGTGGATTTGGTCTCAATAAGAGTTGGAATCTCTTGCTAATAAAACACGTTCTAAACCCTTACTAATTTAATCTAACACCGTACATCTCACCGTGAGATGAGCCATCATAAAAATGGGATCCATCGTGTTTGGTGTTAGATCATGTTGGTGGGTTGTTGGAATGTATTTTGTTAGCAAGTGATTCGAACTCGAAGCGGGATCTACTCCTCACAAATGGGCACCTCACAGGTACATCCACTGTGCATTGGGAATATCTCCCATGAATAATAACTAATAAGTACAGGAGATGTTCCCAATGCATGGTAGGATGTGTGTGAAGAGTAGATCCAATCTCTTCGAACTCCCTGTTTAATCCAATCCAAACCAGCTAAAATGAGAATTGGGATCTGCTCTTTATTTGGGCACCTCACAACGACCTCATAGGCACATTCCACTATGCATTTAGAACATCTCCTATAAATAATAACAAATAAGTGGGGAAAATGATCTCAATATACGGTGTGATGTTCCTGTGAGGTCGGTGTCAGCGTCATTGCTAGAGCAGATCCGGTCTCCTAAAATGGCCGCTGAATCTTTCAACTTTTCTGATCCGGCCCCATCTATCCATCCATTCATTAACCACCCAACCAATGATGGCTCCACACAACTGCTTCTCATACAGTGTGCCTCACACCGACCACAAAGGCACATCCGGGGAACATTTTCCGTGTTGTTACTCGTAGAAGATGTTTCCACTGCAGGGTGGTGGTTTCCACTGCAGGGTGGTGGGATGTGCCTGTGTGAGGTCAGTGTGCGGCGCGCTCTGTAAGGAGAAGATGCCATTTAATTACTTTAAGGTCTGATTAATGGTAGAGATCAGGACTTATTAGACATCCCACGTACTGTCTGTCACTCTGTCACCATTTCCATTTTTTTCTAAACACAGAGACCTGTTAGGATCTCTGATAAACTATTGACCAAAATCTTTGTATGTACATGCTTTCATGTGTGGTGGGCCGGTACTGGGCAGACAAGTCCCTTAATGAGACAGTGACGTGGCAAACATGTGGATCCCTTCTCCGGCCATTCCTGGTCCTGGGATTCTCCATAATCCACGTTAAACTCTGGGTCGCAGAGGAGGAACACTGGGCCCTACACATGATGAATGTTTCTCGACCGTTAGATTGGCATCAGATAAGCTTCTCTGATGAAGATCACAACCGTGGGCCCCAAGATCGTTGAAATTATTATAGGGCCTTCGTTCCACCAATCAGAGAAGTTCACAATTCGGCTCATCTTCCCAGAATAATAATTACTGGAGAGTGGAGAGGGAGAGAGCGCTTTGAGAGTTGATATCCAGAGCTGAAATTCTCTGAAGGATACGGAGGTTTTTGTTTTCCGGCATTAAGGGGTATGAGATGCTTCAGATGACAACCTGTGAAGCTCCGGGCAGTATGCTAGGGTTTATCTGGAAGAGGGACCAGTTGGGATCTGGGACTTGCAGAGCTGAAGGAGATTCTCCATTGTTCAGCGATTTTGTAGCGAGGGAAATCAATGCCTTGTCATGGCTTTTTCTCATATTGATTACTTCTCTTCTGCTCGGGAAAGTTATCAGGTTGGTGAGATTATGGGCGAATGGGAGCAAGATCCCTGGTCCTCCATGCCCGTCCCTTTACGGGCATTTGAAGTTGATTTCTGGAGCCAATTCTGGTGGTAATCTCATTGGTGGGTCTTAATTTTACTGTTTATGGTTGGTTTGGTCTGGTGTTTACTGTTGAATTGGAATACTGTTTGTTTTAAGCTGTGGAATACTTATTCTTTGAAAATTCTCGTGGGATTCATTTCATTCTAAATCTTATGTCGAAGAGTTATTTATTTGTTTTATTTATAGTCTATCTCTCCCAAATCTCTCCTGTTTACTGAGTGGATTTCTTCTGTCATCAACTTCAAATAGTCATGCTTGTTTGGTGTTAAGTTCGAAGTTGGCCCCCCTCCCCCCCTCTTTTGTAATGATATCACTTAGTTATTAGTCTAATTTGCTACTTCGTCACCATTCTAAACAGAAAGAGATCTGTTCTGTTGTATTATCATTTTAGATTACCATATGAATCACGACAAACTAATTTAGTTGTGTTATTTCGCGATCTGGTGTGGTTTTGGGATAGAAGTTATTTCTGATTTCTTTTGGTCTATTTAGATTCCTCTGGTATACAACTCATTAGATGGTTAAGAAATTAATGATGCTGCTTCTAGTAGGGGTGAATCGGTTATTCATTTTATTTATATTTGGTTATGATTTTGCCTTATGATTCTTATTATGTATGCTTGCATGTCTTGGCTTTCAGATTTTCTGTCAAAGTCACATGAGAAATATGGATCAATTGTTAGGCTATGGTTGGGTCCTACTCAGCTTCTGGTGTCTCTAAATGATCCAGAACTTATTAAGGAGATGCTTGTAAAGGCAGAGGATAAATTGCCTTTGACAGGAAGGACATTCCGTCTGGCATTTGGGCGGTTGAGTCTCTTTGTTCCATCATTTGAAAAGGTAACTGTTTATGTTTTTCCTTAATTTTTTTTCTTTTTATTATTATTTACTGATCATTTGCGTCTACCAACTATTTCTTCAACTGGTAAGAAGCTCTTCTTGTTTCCAAAGACAGTCAGAATTCTTTGATTCATAATAAATTACCAACATAACAATTCAAATCCTACTCTAGAATCCCAAAGTGAACAGCAATCATGATTAAATCCCATGATTCATGATTCAAATTTCAGGAACCCTATTCTTCATGCAATTTAATAAGATTGTAAGCTGATGCTAGTCACAGAAGACTAACCTCTGAAAATCAATATTTAATTATTTTTGTTGTGTTTCCTTATTTCCTTTGGTTCATAACTTTTAAAATAAGATGCCCCTTTTATCTTCAATCTAATTTTCTTAAGTGTGAAGCACAAATTTGTATATGGGTTTTAGGATTTCCTTCAACAATAAATTCTACATGAAGGATCAAGACAATTTCTTATTGATCTATAGTTGTAAAGGCAGAGGCCATTGCTTGGTGCAGTTGCAAAATCTTGGGTGACAAGTGTGATAATCGCTATTTGTGCAAAAAAAAAAAAGCCATAGGTTAGGTATGCATCCGGTTTTGAGAAGAAAAAGGGAGTGTTGCCATTTATTTTTTCAATTTATATGCATTTTGATTGGTATATAAAAGTAGGGAGCTAACGTAGAATTTAGTTTTTCCTTGTGAAATTCTAATGCATAGGGAACACCTAGGCTACTACGCACTCCACTGATGGCTAGAATTTCCTTAACTATACTTCCTTTTCAATAAGACACCATCGCATGTGATGTGCAACCTGTATTCTCTTTTTGAAACCAAAAATATCTAATCTATGTGATTTCTTTTAGTTCTTTCCATTCATAACATACTGAAAATGGGAAATGCATTTCAACTATTGTGATTTCTTGTACTTCTTTCTATTCATAACATAGTCATATTGATTTTTTCTTGTTCACCATTCACAGGCACAAAAGAGAAGACAATCATTGGCAATGCAGTTGAATGGGAAATTACTTGACAGGGCAAATATGATAACTCTGAAAGTTGTGGACTCTGTCATGGAAAGAATTCATTCTCTCATGCCAAAAGAAGTTCTTGATTGTAGATCGGTTTCCCAACATATGGCTTTCTCCATCCTTGGTTCTATGCTCTTTGGAGATGCATTCTTTGCTTGGTCTGATGCAATTGTTTATGAAGATCTTCTTATGATGATTGCTAAGGATGCTTATTTGTGGGCATCATATAGTGTTCCTCCATTCTGGAAAACAGGATTTTGGAGGTACCAGTGTTTGTGTAGAAGGTTAAAAAACTTAACACAAGACATTGTTCAACTGTGCAGAGAAACTTGCAAATTCTTTGGTCAAATGGACCAAAACCACCATGATGAAAGGGCACATATTGGAAAGGAAGTTGCGAAGGGTGCAATATCTTATTCTGGTGGTTTGCTGGCAGATGACTTATTCTTAGAGGAGCTTAATGGCCATTTTATCACAAGGGATGAACCATGTGGGAATATTATGGGTATGATGTTTCATGGATGCCTCACCATGGCAGGCTTGATTGCAAACATCTTGACAAGGCTTGTTATGCATCCAGATATACAGGACAAGGTAGGTGTTTCTTTTCCTACTTGGCTTACTTTTTGTTAAGTTCCTTCTCTTTTATGTTGTTTTTGCATGGTTGTTGCTCCCAGATTGAATTTATACATCTACCATTGGTTGGTTTGTTCTTTATGGTCCTACTCCTACTCTTCCAAGAGTTTTGGAGAGTAGTGTTTCATTCTCATATTTATTATTTAATGAATTTCATCACTACTAATAATCTAATATAAAACAACCCATATTCAATTTACCAAGTCAATTGTAGATGGATTCCTTTTTTCTTATATCCGGTTGTATTGGCCGATATGTATCATTCTAATGAGGGTCTGATATGTGGAATGCATGGGAGTTATTTGGGCCAATATGGACTTTTATTGGGTTTGTGTTGGTCAATACAGGCCTGGTATGGACTGATACTTTGGATTGTTGGCCAATACATTGCAACTTTTAATATTATAATCTATCTACATTCTCTCTCATTTTTAATTACTCCATCTCTCTCTCTCTAATAACTCCTATATTTAAGACAACTTTTCTTAAAGAACCCCTAATCCCTTATAAATACTCCTTCTCTCTTAATAATTCCCCTATTTAAGGCAACTTTTCAAATTCAAAGTTGTTTCACTTTTAAATACATGCTACATTTAGGGCAATATTCAAATTCAAATTTGAATATGACATGCTATTAAATTAGTGTATTAAAAACTACAAGTAGAAAGTAAGAACATTTGAACACTGGTCATTAATTTGTAATGTTGATTATTTCCATGTAGAGTAGTTTTTTGGGGTGTCACCTTGACACCTGTTTAGATTTTTAGAATCTTTAGATCGTATTATCCTTTTATTTTAATGAAATCCTTTTGAATTTCTTAAAAAAAAAGGTGTAGAAGAATATTTGTATTAAGAATGCTTTTGAGTGTTCCTTGTCTTACAAGATTGTGGCAAAGGTCTTATCTTTGAGGATAAAAAGGTGCTTCCTTGTCTTATTAGCCAAGTGCAAGGAGCTTTTGTTCAGGGGAGACAAATTGTAAATCAGATTCTAATAGCAATGGAGGAAATGAGGAGATCGGGGCGTCAAGGTTATGTGTGTAAACTAGATCTTGAAAAGGCCTATGACTTGGTGGATTGGGAATTCTTGTCAATTGTGCTAAGGAAGTGTGGGTTTGGGGATAAATGGTGCAAATGGATAAACGGTTACCTCTCCAATTGCCATTATTCCATCCTAGTCAATGGGATAGTTAATGATTTTTCCCCAGCTAGTAGGGGTCTGAGACAAGGCGATCCCATGTCACCTTTTCTTTTCACTTTAGTCATCGATGCCTTTAGTAGACTCCTCTCAGAAGCAGATAGAGCCGGATCTATAAGAGGGTGGAGAATAGGTAGAGATAGAGTTTCAGTTTCCCATCTCCAATTTACAGATGACATAATAATCTTTTGTGAATGTTGTGATTTAATGGAGGTACGGAATCTGAAGGATTTAATAATTCACTTTGAGAGGGCCTCAAATTTGAAGGTAAATTTTGAGATGAACTGTGTTGTGGGAGTTCATTTGAACAGAGAGGAGTATAGCAGCCTTGTTAGAATGCACTTGCTCTCAGTGGCCTCTTTCCTACCGGACTTCCTCTAAGTGCAAACCCAAAGGAAATTAGGTTTTGGAACCCGGTGGTGGAAAAATTCGAAAAAAGATTGGCATCTTGGAAGAGAAACTATATTTTCGTGGGTGGTAGAGTTACTCTGATTAAAGCAACTTTAGCCAACTTGCCTTTATATTTTTTGTCAGTCTTTAGAATTCCTAAGAGGGAGGTAAAGAGGTTGGAAAAATTGATGAGGGACTTCTTATGGGAACCTGGAGAAGAGAAAAAAGGTCACTTGATTAGGTGGGAGGTGGTAAGTCGGAGTAAGAAAGGAGGCCTAGGCTTAGGGAATGTGGTGAGTAAGAATGAGGCTCTTTGCTCTTTTAGGTAAGTGGCCCTTGGAGAGGGGGAGGTTGTGGCATGAAGTAGTGAAAAGTATCCATGTCTATTCTGAATCAGGTTGGGATGTGGGGGTATCTCGAAGGGCTTTGCTCACAACACCTTGGAAGGCGATCTCTGGCATTCTCCCTAAATTCCTCAGTTTTGTAAGGATGCTTGTTCTGGAAACTCCTTTCTTTTTTGGGAAGATACATAGGTGAGCACTCAACCCCTGAAAGACCGTTTCCCTTCTCTCTATTCCATCTCCCTCTTTAAAAAGAAACCCATTTCTTGGTTCCTTCCCCCTGGTTTGCCCCTTGGCTTTAAATTGGGATTTCGGGTTTTGAAGAGGGTTAAGGGATGAAGAACTTCATTGTGTTTCAGAGCTATTGTTGCTTCTAGAGTCAGTGTGTTTGGACCCCACCAACCCAGATAAAAGAGTCTAGGCCCTAACCCCGGTTGGCTCTTTCACTTGTGCATCTTTCTTCAAAGCCCTTTGCTCTAACCCCTCCTTTCAGGTCTTCCTTGATAAAGAGGTTTGGTCAAGGCTAATACCTCCCAAGATGTGTTCTGTTGGGAAGCCTATTATGGTAAGATCAATACTGTGGAAAATTTGCAAAAGAAGAAACCTTTTATGTGTCTATCCCCAAATTGGTGCTTTATGTGTAAAGTGAAGGGTGAGGACTGTAACCATTTGCTGATATCGTGTTCCCTTTTGCTGCCAATATTTGGAACTGGGTTGCTTCCTTATTTGGGTGCAGGAGGAACTTGCCCTTTGAAGTAAAGCTGCTGTTCACTCTGGCTGCTTTTGGGAGATTGACAAAAAGAGGGAAGCTAATGTGGAAATGTATCAGAGCCGCTACTTTGTGGATTTTATGGGACGAGAGAAATGCTAGAATATTTCAAGAAAAGGAAAGAAGTCTTGCTGAAATCAAGGAATGCATATGGACAAGGACAATCTCATGGTTGAAATCTTCACATTTGTTGGCCGACTCCTTTGATGACTTAAGGAGAAACTGGGAAGCAGTGGCTTCTACAATATCCACCAAGAACAAATCACAAGTGAATTGGAAACCCCCACCGGATGGAATGGTAAAATTGAATTTTGATGGTAGCTACCAAGGTAACCCAGGGCTGTCTGGAATTGGTGGGGTTCTGAGAGACAAAGATAACAATATGTTGTCTCTTTTTTCAGGACCAGTGGGTGAAGGCGATTCTGTAAGGGCAAAGCTACTAGCAGCGGTACAAGGTATACAAATGGCTAATCAAATTGGAGTTAACAATTTGTTAGTAGAAGGGGATTCCAAAGTAGTAGTGGGCTGGTGGAATAGCCCAGATACATCTTGCTGGGGCTATAGGGATCTGTTAAAGAAAGTTAAATGGATGACAAGAAATATGACTGTCAGATTTCAGTGGGTCAGCAGACCAGCAAATGCAATGGCTGATTCTCTGGCCAAACAAGGGGTGTCAAGGGGAGATCTGTTTTGGGCTACTTTGTAATTTGTGCTTCAAGCTTGGGCTTGTTTAGTGGATATGATTTAGTCCTTGGGGGAGGTAACATCTCGTGCCTCTTCCTAGGCTGATTGTATTCTCTTATCTGAATTAATAAAACTTCTCTCATTTATTAAAAAACAAGTGTTCCACTTGCAGCTGGTGCTTAATCATTTCATTCATCTGAGTTCATCCAAAACTGTATTTCCTTTTTGCAGACAAGTATCTTGATTGATTTGACTTGATTTCCAAAGGGTCATTACCCAACGATGACCCTAGCTATTTTGGGTCTTGGCAATAAATCCGATTGAAATATGAGGAAGTAGAGAAGAGAAGGGAAGAGGAGAGAAAAGAAGAAGAAAGGAAGAAGAAAAAGGTTTGGAGCAATAGAACAGTGCTGGGAGCGCCAACTTCTATTATATTATATAGGGCAGCTGAAATAAGAAGGGAAAAGACTCTTGTGCCCCTGCTGTGAGTACAATAACATAAATAACATAAAATAAAAAACGCTTTAACTAGCCAAACAGACCCTAACACAATTAACTAAATTATTTCAACACTCCCCCTCAAGTTGGAGCATAGATGTTAATCATGCCCAACTTGTCACACAAATCATTGTGCCGCACATGATGAAGACCTTTGGTGAAGATATCTGCAAGTTGTTCTTCTGAGCTGACATATGGAGTACACATTTCTCCATTTACAAGTTTATCTCTAATAAAATGCTTGTCCACTTCAATGTGTTTCGTCCTATCATGCAGGACTGGATTAGCAACAATATTGATGGCAGCTTTATTGTCACAGTAGAGTGACATAGGATTGCTCACTGCAAAACCCAGTTCACCTAACAAATTTCTTATCCACATGATTTCAGCAACCCCATGAGACATCACTCTATATTTTGCTTCAGCACTAGATCTAGCCACCACACTTTGTTTTTTACTTCTCCATGTGACCAGGTTTCCTCCTACAAAGGCACAATACACACTGGTAGACTTTCGGTCATCAATTGCTCTTGCCCAATCAGCATCAGTATATACTTCCACCTTTAAGTGGCCATGTTTCTGGAACAACAAACCAGCTTCGGGAAACTTCTTGAGGTATCTAAGGATCCTCTCTGTAGCTTCAAAGTGAGTTGTCCTAGGATTGTGCATGAACTAACTAAGGACACCCACTGCATAAGCAATATCAAGCCTGGTCATAGACAAATACAAGAGTCTCCCTACGACTTTCTGGAACTTCTTCACATCTTTCAAAAACTCTCCCTGACCGTCTCCCAG